GGGTTTCATGGGCATGTAGATAATCTCTGGTTCCTGAAAAGTGTGGTAGACATGAGTCCAAAGCCTGCTTAAAAAAATAAATGGATTTATGCTATTTTAATTCCAAGTAACTCTTTAACTTGTCTTTCTAACACAATGCATTGTGTTAAGTCTTAAAACACATACAGTTGTTTGATCTTTTCATTTCTCCCAAAGGCATCCCTTCTTCACCTTCATGGTGGCAACCTACAGGGTCTGCTCCCACTGACACCATGCCAAGCCAAGCCAGTTTGGGGGGAAATAGGCTAAATTTCTAGAAAGGGAGTAATGCTCGAAGGGAAAAAGAAATATTCTCATCTCCTGGGCCGGAGTCCAAGTTTCCGCTTTAGAGGGACTTAGCCTATTTAGAAGTGTGTCTAATGCATAGGTAACGAATGTCTTCTCTGAAAAGTCACATGCCCCTCTTGTGATGGAGACTTCATCTGGGCATAGAGATTTCTTCCCTGTTTTGAACATTATAGCAGAGAGCATGGGAAGTGGGTCTTATTCTATCTCCACTGTCAAATTATCTTATAATTTGTTCTTGCCCATTATGCAGCCTAAAACAACTCTCAAAACAATGGTGGAAAAGCCACCAAGATCATTCTTAAAGGACACGTTAGTTGTAAACCTAGCATCCTTGATCTCAATTCATTTTATTCTTCCCTCATTGGAAAATTTCCTCCAGTCCTGAGGAAAACAGAGCTTCAGCACAAACAAAGCCAGACTCTAAATCCAGACCACATTTCCTTTCCTATAGTTGATGATGATAAGAAATGACGTGCTAAGAAATGACGTGCTCTCTCCCAGGCAGTAGAAACGTAACACAGTCAGGGCACCGCCTCACTCTTTGGTTCAGAGACAAGATTAGGGAAACAGAATCTTCACGTGGGATTGCTATAAACTGGGTTATGAAACTAGGTCATCTTATCTTTAGAAACTTTGAATGAAAGGCCAGGGGAGGCAGGTGTGTGTGTGCCTGTGCAAGTACGTGTGTTCCCATTTTTGTCTTGTTTCAAATGACAAGTCCTAGCAGACCTGCGCCTTCTTTACAAGCTTCAGGTCTCAGCATCTTTACTTTCGGGTTTGGGTGTCATCACCAAAAGTGACTCCCACCCAGTGGTTTTCCCCACTCCCATTCCCATTTCAAAAAATGTCAGGTTCATCAAGAGATCAGATTGCTCAGAGCATGGGACTACCCGGCTATAAACCACAGAAGGTCCCGGACCTGGTCAGCCCTGTTAATAGTGGGAAAAGAGTGACTTCATGCAGTCTCACCAGTCCTTTATTTACCCAAATTGTGAAAATTGTAAGGTAAATTACACTGGTTGTTGGGGGAAATCATAGAATCCTGCAACTTCATAGGTCAGTAAGAGTATCCAGGCCTGATCTTCTATCCTTTGGCAAGTAATTAGCTAACCTGACACTGTCCAGTAGACATATATATCAGGTGTAGAGTAATTCTAAATTTTCTAGGAGCCACATTGAAAAAAGCGAAAAGAAATAGCTAAAGTGAATTTTAGCACCATGTTTTGTTTTATCAAGTATGTCAATAATATTACAAACTCAGCATGCGATCAATATAAAAATGATCAATGAGACAGTTCACATTCCTTCTTCACACAGAGTCTTCAGAATTTGCTCTGAAGTTTACACTGACGGCACATCTCAATCAGGGCTGACCACATTTCCAGTGCCCGACAGCCATCTGCTTACTGATTAGCACACATGCAAACCATCCAAGACAGGTTTCACCTATTATTATCGTGAAGATTTCTTTCCTTTCTGAATTTGTAGGGACATTTACATAGGATTCCTATTTGTAATCTTACTGTTTCAAACACTTTTTACGAGTAAGTATCTTCATTTTGTGTAAATTAGTGGCTGCTGGTGTCAGTGCACTCTATCTGTCTTATTCAGTCTATAACACTCCCCCATTTCCAACTTTTCTATTTTGCTTTTTTACCTATAACTATTACTAGGACTTCAGTAGAACTTGAAGGCAAAGAATCATGTCTCTATGTCTGTCTGTCTATCTAGATATATTGGTGGATCTCTATTCTTGGGTATATTATATGAGGCAGAGGATACAATAAATCAGAGTAAATCATTTGAGTAAATCAGAGCAGGAGATAAGTTTTTGGACTTTGAGAAATAGACTGAAAATAAGAGAGATATTCATAGGTACATCTATAGAGAGCTGTCTCAGCACTCATAAATACAGAATGTTGTCTTCATTTAGAATGGGTGAGCTATATTTTTTGTCTGCCACAGATAGATACTCCGAGTTTTATACTATTTAAGATAGTATTTCAAGATGGATGTGTAGAGAGAGATAAAGAGGTTCCTGGGTGGGGAGAATTGAATAAACAAAAACATGGCACACAAAAGGAAAAGTATGGCTCTATTTAGACAAGAGCAATGAGAGAGTTAAATGTATAAAGGTGAATAAGGAAGGTTAAGGATAGACAGATCGATGCCATTAACGGAAGGTCTAGTATGTGTACTTAAATTTGGAGTTCATTTTGTAAATAATAGGGAATCATTTAAGTATTATGGGCAATAAATAAATATAGTCATAGCTATGTTTTCCAGGGAATTAATTCTACAGCAGTGGAAAATATCAGAGAGAATTTCAGAATTAGAGTTCAGAGCAGAAGGAACCAGGACTCAGAGGATGGTACTGCTCAGTGGATGGTAAATAACTTAGGGGTAGATGTAGATCATGAAAGGAAATCCAGACCAAAATATGAGCAAAGAGAAGAGGCCCATATTAGTTGGGGTAGACTGAGTGGAATAAATGAAATACTCACATATAATGGGTAAATACAGAAGTGTAGCAGACCAGGCTGTTCCAAGTAGGTTGGGTAGGGGGTTGGCCCCATTCCATAGTTATTCAATGACCCAGACAGACTGTTGCTCTTACATCTTCCTCAGAAGGCTTCTAAAGTCATCCCAGAAGTTGACTTTCCAGGTATCCAGTATGGGAGAAGAGCACGAAGGAACACAGTCTGAAAACAGTCCTCACCACTCCTGCACGTGTTCCATTCATTAAAACTTGGTCACATTGCAAGGAAGTTGGGTAATAAGGTCTACTTGTGTGTTCAGGAAGAAAAGAAAAATGATGTTGGTGAATGGCTAGCAGTCCTGGCTATAAAGACCTAGGAGAGAAGCTAAACTTCTAAATGTATATAGATTTTTCTTCCATTAGGATTCTTTTCATAGGGTACATTTCCAAATGTGAGATTACTAGGTACATTTGTGAATGTTTTAATTTATTATATTGCTTCTTTAAATGCCCGTGTGTGGTTGTTTCCTTTTCCCTGTCCCCAGGATCTACCTTGTTAACTTTGAGCTTACTCACGGTGTTTCTGTGTTTTCATGTCTCTTCCCTTATAATCCCTCTTTCTCTCCTTAGATATGGCTACCTTGGCTCCTCTCTCCTCCTCTCTCACCTTCTTCTCTGGTGCCTGTACAAGGGCAGAGAAGTACCAAGTGTAATAGATCAGTCATAGACATGTTCTACAATCTATTGTCTCAGGCTTGAAGAGGTGGGGTGGGGTTTACTGGATTATGGTTTCAGACTCTACTGCACAGAGTCACCTCCAGACCTTTGAAAACTGATGCCCAGGTTTCACCTCAGAGTAGTTAAAATAAACTCTTCGGGAACAGTGCCTGAGTAATCTTAGAAACTCACCAGGTCATTTAATGAGCAGTCAAGTTTGAGCACCAGTGTGTTAGAACCACTGTGGTAGGAAGCCTCCATCTTTTTCTTTTCCTCTTCCCTCACAAAGATTGGTATTTCTAATCAGATCCTCCACTCCCCAAGAATGAGGTCAGCTAATCAGTCCTCCTGTGTCTGAATCTGGTCAGACTTATCAGCAAGGTGGGATGCAGTGTACCTGGGTTGGTACTTCCAGTGGTTTTTGACCATTTCCCTACTGTGATTTATATTTCAGTTTTTAAAAGAGTTGGCAGGATTTTTGCTGTGTTAAGGATTCCCTAGTATTTGCTGCTGTAATCATGTGTTTTATTTCCATGTTCTCTAGTAGTTTACTTGTGGATTAGCCCACTAACCCAGTGCCTGGCACCAGTGATGTGGAATAAAAGTTTATTGACTGAATAAAGAATAAAAGGATGAAAAATGGATTTTTTTAATTCTATAAATGGTTAAACTTTCAAGTTGGATGATAAATTCCCATTAGTTAGGATATTTTAGGTTGTGGAGACCTAGCAAAGAAATGCCTTTTTATATATTTACTTATTTTTACAGATATTATTCCCACCCATCACTATGTGAAAACTTTGAGTCCAAACCTATAGCTGTTCTCTGTTTGCCACTGGAAGTATTTGAGTAGTTCCAGAAGCAGAGAAATCTTTTAATTTGAAAAATTTAGAAATAATTGGGTGATGACCCTACTGAACTGGCACAACGCTTGAATTAGTAGAAATGTATTAGGCCTTTGAGTACACAGTGACTTTCAACTTCAAACTGAGTTTCAGGAAACCTCTGGCTTAGAAATAGAATTTGCCCATTACTGGTATAGATGTGTTTTCAAACAGTCTTAACTTAAAGTGCTTTACTACTGCTATCCTCCTTTGTAGCTAATTTGCTCAGCAAAGGCAATTTTGAATAGAATTTATTTTAATTGTCATGGAATCTGCAGTGTTGGGTCTTACATTGTACAATTTGAGGGTTTTTCCTCATCTGTTCAATATATATTTCAAAGATTACCACATCCATGTGTAAAGCTTCTATAGATCTAATGTCTGCTTTAGTTACTGGCTCAAACTTTCCCCCGACTCCTTTTCCCATTTCCAGAATTTTGTTAAGATCAACACCTGCAGTATTTTCAGGGGTAAGATGAAAGGTGCTTAAACTCCTTGGGTTCAACTTTCTTGCATCCAAAATCAAAATTTGAGAGCTTCCCCTTTAAGCCTGAAAGAAGACTGAAGTGCGGTGGTTCCTCCTTTCTTTCCAGGAGAACGCTGTGAATGGAGAGCACCTGTGGCTGGAGACCAACGTCTCGGGAGACCTGTGCTACCTGGGCGAGGAGAACTGCCAAGTCCGATTTGCAGTGAGTGTGCTCCTCAGACCTCTGGGCTCTGACCTCGCTGGGGGGCAGCTGCCAAATGGGGTCTGAAGACAGTGGGGTCACGGTGCTTGAATTTCCAAGGAGAGGCTTGGAAGAGCTTGTTCCTTGTTGACAGAGAGAGTGTATCAAGTTAAATTGGCTTCCAAAGAGTCAGTTTGAATGGTGTTAGGGCTTGACTCTGCATGCCACACCGTGGTTTTAATGTGCTACCTATGATGACACCCAGGGTTGGTTTTGGTTTGTGTGTTTGGTGGGAAGGAGGGAGGATGTGCGTGAAGGATTGTCTGCTTAGGTAGGTGTCTGTGTGGGTGACAGGTGTATGTGTGGAGGAAGGGTCTCTGTGGGAGGGGTGACTTCTTTGCAGGGGAGTGTGTTTGCCAGTGGGCATGACTGGTGGGTGAAGGTGGGGATGGGCGGAAACACCTGTCTGGTGTGGGTGTAGGCTAGCAAATAATTCAGACTAAGTTCTGGAGGGTAAAATTCTAGAAACCATATAAACAATCAACAGTCAACTACACTGGAATATCCTTTGCTTTTTAAAATTTACTTTGTATCCCTGTTTAGAACAATCTGTTTAAATGTTAAATTCTCTTTATGCTCTGTGAAGAGAACATGGTTGCCAGGCAGTAAATTGTGAGGAACTAAAATTCTAGTGTTGAGAGAGTAAACTTAACATTTTTGTGTAGCTTAAAATTATGAGTCTGAAAACAGAGTAACCAGAAATTGGAATAGTAAAGAAGAAAGAAATGTTCCTTCTTGGGAAATGGGCATTGTAATTGAAATAATAATTTTTTTCTTGTTATGTTTGTTTATCATGTGAAAGAAAGATTTGGGGCAAAGTGGACCTTGGAATGACAAGTGAATGTTTCTATTAATAACTAATGAGGAAGGAATTGAGTTTCCATCAGAGCTTATAGAAGAACATATCCCCCAAGGAATTTTATCAGGCTGCCCGGGATCACAAAGCTGGGAACCAAGACCTTTAAAATTACATTAGCTGTTTCGATGCCTAGTTTATAGGTTTTCCTCGGAAAACTTCATGAGAGTATTGGAGTGCCAGGGTTTTTTGAGTGAAGTTGGGATTAGGTAAATGTCTAAGAAGATTCAGTAGTTCAGCCTCTCAATTTAAAGTCAGGAAGTCTGGGTTTGGATCTCAGTGTTACCACTCATTGTGTGACATTGAGAACTTTTGATCTTTGGGCATTCTGTACCTTCTCAGTAGAAAAATGGAGTAAGATTAAGTTATTTTTAATTTTGCTTCCAATTCAGATATGTACTTAATTGTTTGCATTTCTTTTAATCTGGTTGTACATTCAGTCGATTTAAATATCATTTCAACTTTATGCCTATGTATTTTTAATGAAAGCGTAATTGCATGGAGTTTGATTAAATTAACCAAAACCAAGAGAAGCTCAGCTATTTGGACTAAAATCTTATAAATAATGAATTAACATTATTATCTTAGTTAATTACATAAACACTGGTCGTGATAACATCAAATGGAAAAAACGAAAGCTAATCTTACTTGTGTATGCACTTCTGAAATATTATCTACTGCTATTGCTGCCAACTGATAGACTGTAATTAGTTATGGAGTTCTGTCTGATTTAATTCTTTCTTGTGCTCTTTTAGGGTCAGCCACATATTACCTCTCTTGGTAAATCTTGTATCGGTAGCTAGCATTTCTATTTACTGATTATAACTTGATCACTATTCCCTCTAGACCAGGGAAAACAACAAGGAAAATAAAAGATATTTTAGGTAGATGTAAGGAGTTAATAGAATTGTGAAAATTCCTAGTGTTCTGTTGAATCTTTCTCAAAATTTTCTTCCAAATCTTGGCTCTCTTAACTCACTTTACAAAGTGTCTTGACAATGAAGAGCTCTCATCTAAAAAATGTTGGTTAAATGAAGGGATAAATCAGTGAAGAAGCTGAAGACCTAAACTGTGTTTCCTCACTAGATGTTTCTAAAGGCTCAGTTTCTATAAAGTGAGGAAAATGTTGTTTGGAGAATTAGTTGACATAATGCATTAAAAGGACTTATTTGCCATAGTGACTGATATAGTGAATTACAGAAAAAAAGGAGGACAGGAGCAGACAATCCTCAAAAGAACTACGAAAGACAAATATATATATGAAAAATATAAACAAAGACACCTAAATTAAAACAACTATGAAGAGTCAACATCATGTGCCTTACATTAGTAAGGATTTGTGAAATAATAATACATACTGCTGGTTAGTTTAGGCCCAAATGGGTACTGTCATTGTTAGTTGGCAGGGTTGTGAACTGATATACCTCACAGTATGTAAGTAAAGCATTAAAAGCCTAGCTCTCTCTGCCCATTTGTGGCAGTACATTTTGAGAGGGACATTGACAAGCATGAGAAGATGCAGAAGAGTGTGCTTACGTGGGTTTGCAGTAGGGAACTTTGTAGAAGGAAGAGTTCAATACTCTGGGTTGAAGCAGAGTAGTACAGAGGGAAGGGAGAGAGCCTGGACCTCTTCCAGTGTTTGAAGAACTGCCAGGAAGAAAAGAGAAGTAGGTGTCTTGCTCTTTGTTGTTAGGAAGACAGTACTGACTCTAACAGTGGCCCTCACACTCTGGTAAAAGAAACGTCATCTGGGGAACCTGTTAACAGTGTAGGTTATTATTTCTCTCTCTGCTCCAAATGCTGATTCACTGGGCCTGGAGTTGGACTTGAAAATCTGTGATTTCAGCAAACACCTCAATGAATTACAGAGCAGATGGTCCACAAAGTTGACTTTGAAAAACAGTGTATTATAAGAAAGAACTTCAACAATGAGAGCTGCCCAGTAAGGGAACAAGGTGCCCGAAGAGATGGGCTCAAAGGGGGTGGAAGGGCATCTTGATACTGTGTGTGTGTGTGGGGGGGAGGGGCAGGTTACACATCTGCTTTTGGTAAGAGGTTAGATGAGAAGATCTCAAAGAGAGCCTCCAGTTTGAGTGTTTTATTTGCAGTTTTCTTAGACTTGAACAACATTTTTTGTAAGAAAAATGAGAGCATTATATTCTCATTTCTTTTAATGAGCCACCTTTGAAGAAAGCTGACCTGTGAGATAGGGACCAAATTACCACAGCCAGATGCTACCTGCAGTCTTCTAAGCGAAGTGCAGGCAGAGTGCTCAGAGGAGGAGTGAACCCACCACTGCAGAGCGCCTCACTCTCTTTTCCCTATTGTAGCAAAGCAGATGTCACGGGAGAAGTTAAGAGAAGGGTGAAGTCAATGTGGGTTGAGTAGCCGCCTCTGTCTACTCAGAGGTGGCTTCATGGAAGCAGGGACTGAGTACGGTTTTGGAAAACAGGTAAGATTTACATAAGTGGAGTTGAGGAGGGAGAACATTTCAGGCAGGGAGAGGAACATGAGAGAACTCAGAGGCACGAGACCACCATGAGACATGCATGAGCCCTCACAGGGCGTGTGTTAAGTAAGGATGGAAATAAGAACAGATGTGTGTGTGTGTGTGTGTGTGTGTTTGGTTTTCTGAACCATAACTTGGAGTGCATGTTATAAATGCCTGTGCTTATGAAGCATGGCCTATAATATATTGTCTAAATCAAAACTACTTGTAGGTGAAAGTTACTGCTGCTATAACATCAAGGGTCACCTGCATCAGGGACACTGTCACCCTAACTTATGAGGACATTGCCATAGTCTATTTCAAACCAAAGCTGTCCGGCAAATCCATGACCTCCTGCTCCCTGGTTGATATTTGGGGCTTTAGTGGAGGGCAGCAACAGGCCAGGCCATGAAGACTGTTGAAGGAGAGTTTGCTCCAAAGCCTCGGGGCTGAACCCGATGACCTTTAACATCCTTCCTCTTTTATGTTTCTGTAGTGGCAACATTCAATACAGTAGAATGTCTCTGAGCAGTTATTTAATGGGATTAAAGTTATTTTCAGATCAGTGACAGTACCCAAATTAGTAACTGTTTCTTTTTCTGGTCTAGAAAGGAGAAAGGGATGCAGAAAATAATGAAATTGGAACAGAAGGATCACTGTTTCCCAACATGACTATGGAGGGAAATTTAAATAAAATTCCAACTGGGGCAACTCCTGTTTGGTGATTTTATTTGGATGGACATTTGTTCATTCATTTGTTCTATTTAAGTGTTATAGGCTGAGTACCCATTATCAGAAACCTCAGTGTTGAGAGTGACAGTGAATTGTAAGCAACATACTCACAGTTTCCTGGGTAGAAATCATTCTCATGCTTGTTGATAAGATATACAAAGATGTTCATCCAATATTCCCGAAGAAACTCACGCCTCCCGAATAATCCCCAGAGCACATAACCAGCGCACAACTATTTTCACACTTAAGATACTTGCTTACACCATATGAGGATATACACTACCTTAGTCAGACCTGCCTAGATGCATGTAGACACAGACAGGCAACCTGTAGTAGCAAGGAAGTGGACTTTGTGTGGGACTGACCTGGGTTTGAATCCTGCTGTTTCATCTATATACTGAGTGAACTTTGGACACATTGTTTCACCATTCTTGCCTCCATTTCTAATTTAAAGTATTGTTAAGCTCAACCTCAGTGGTTCTTATTTCTGGATGAGCATTGCAGTCACTTGAGAAACTTGATTTTTTAAATGGTTGGTTCCCAGCCTGGAGCTACCACATCAGACTGTCTGGTGAGTGGCGCTGGGCATGAGTGTGTTGAAAGAAACAAACTCTACAGATGATTCTGTGTGCTCTCACACGGGTGGGTAGAGAGCCTCTGGTCTTCATAAAGAGAGTGTCAGGACCAAAGGGGGTGGCCTGGTCCTCGCACCTGCTATGGTAACTGTTATAGGTTGTGTTGTGTAACCCAAAAACATATGTTATAGTCCTAACCCCAGGGACCTCGGAATGTGACCCTATTTAGAGATAGAGTGCTGCAGATGTAGTTAGTTAAGATGAGGTCATACTGGAGTAGGGTGGGTCCTTGATCCAATATGACAGATGT